ATGGAGGTTCCTCAAAAAGTTGAAAATAGAGCTACCCTATGACCCAGCAATTGCACTACTGGTATTTACCCCAAAGATACAAATGTAGTGATCTGAAGGGGCACATGCCCCAATGTTTATAGCAGCAATGTCCACAATAGTCAAACTATGGAACGAGCCTAGATGTCCACCAACAGATGAATGGATAAAGAAGATGTGGTACATATATACAATGGAATATTATGCAGCCATCAAAAAATGAAATCTTGCCATTTGCAACGACGTGGATGGAAGTAGAGGGTATTATGCTAAGCGAAAAAGTCAATCAGAGAAAGATAAGTATCACATGATCTCACTGATATGAGGAATTTGAGAAACAAGACAGAGGATCAGAGGGGAAGGGAGGGAAAAATGAAACAAGATGAAATCAGAGAGGGAGACAAACCATGAGAGACTCCATCTCAGGAAACAAACTGAGGGTTGCTGGAGTGGTGGGGGGTGGGAGGGATGGGGTGGCTGGGTGATGGACAATGGAGAAGGTATGTGCTATGGTGATCGCTGTGAATTGTGTAAGACTGATGAACCACAGACCTGTACCCCTGAAACAAATAATACATTATATGTTAATAAAAAAAAACTAAAAAAACAAAACAAAAACAACAGTGTGGGATTGCTGTGCGGAGGCTGGAGAAGTGACTTCGGGGGCGATGGAGCAAAGCCTTTTTGGAGGGGTGTGTTTGCACTTTTCCCTTAAGGCTCTGTAGAATTGTGGTAAGTAGATGTGAGTAAGGTCATTTTATTTGGATAGAAAGGTATGAGCAAAAGCAGAAAGGCAGCAAATACTTAGTCCTATTCAGGGAAGCAGCGAAAAAGCAAGCCCGAAAGGCCCACTGGGGCCAGGTTATGAGGATCTCCAAACTTTCAATGTTCTGCTTATTCTAAGAGTCCATGATTTGTTACTGGTAGATTTGGAAGAGAAAGGCTAGAGTCTTCACACCCATACTCGTACATGGGATAGCGGAGAAAAAGAGCAATAGCAGTGATCCAGAAGCACTGGATGGGCACTGGGCTCCTGGGAGGGGTGGGAATACATTGAACTAGAAACATGACATAGTGAGAAGAACATATTTGGAGTCAGTCAGCCATGGGTTAAAATCCTGTAATCAACATTTACTGTGTAGACTTGGCCAACTTAGAACTGCTGAGCCTCATTCTCCTTGTGTGACAAATGGGGATAATAGTGTCTTTATGTAGGATTGTCCTGAGGATTCAAGAGAATGGGGTGACACACATACGTAGACTCCAGATGGCCCTAGGTGATCCCTAGGGTACCTTCTGAATCTGAATGTCTGTGAAATAATTTAAAAGTTTTTTCCTGCAAATATAAGTTATTCACGTAATTGAAGTTAAAATATATAAATCATGTATTTCTAGGCAATTAATATAATGAATTTCAAGTATCAGTGAAAACACCACAGCCAAAATAGATTCTCCTGGTGCAGAAACTTATCTCTGGGAATTACTCAAATATTTTGGAAGCTGTGTTAACCATTTCAGTCCTGTATGTTGCCATTCCGGGCTCAGAACCATGTGTTTAGGAAATGGTGTTTTCTCGTCAGATCTAATCTAAGGTCCGTCTAATTCCTTTTCCTGATGGGAGCTCTGAGTTAGGGTTTTACTCTGTGAAGTGTATTCTGCTAAGGTGGCTACGGGCAATACTTGAAAGTGTGAATGTACTTTGAAAACCTCTCCCATACTTTCCATTAGAAATAGTCTAGATTGTGGTACCTTGTGTCCCTACTAGACTTTCTGTCTTTAGCCAGTTTACGGAAATCTTTTTCTTCTAATTATTCTTCAGGCGAACCTCTTAGGTTTTCTGTTTGATGATGACATTATTTGTAAATCAGGTCATCTCCTTTCTGACGGTTGTATCCTTATTTGTGTCTCCTGACCTAGAGATAAGTATGTCAGGATGATGATGGTGGTGGGAATTGATAAGATGGTGTTGGAAAGGCCTCTAGTGTTTCAGTATCTAGTATGATATTGACATTTAGTTTGAATTCCATAGCACCCTTGTTCTATCTTTCCTGTCCCTTGGCTCACATTATATAGAAACTTGGGGGAAAATGTCTTTTACCTATTGAACTCTGAGCCCATTAAGGACAGCGTCTTTTCTTATTCATCTCCATGTTTGCAGGATTAGCACTGAGCCTGAACAAAAAACATGCAGATATTTATGGGAGGCATGAATAAGTACCTTAATTTATCAGGGCTCAATAAAAAGATCCTGAAGACAATAATTTCCTATTACATAGGAAATTATAAACATCTTTTCAGAATTTTGAAGAAGATTCACTGTTCAGCAGTCTTCCTAAAAAATGTTTCATTTAAATTTAATATCTTGAATACTTGTCTTTTTTGTGATTCTTACGTAAGAAAGCAGGAAGGAGATACAGTTTAAAGTTCTATCCTACTTGTAATTAAAAGAAATAGTGAAAGCCCAAATTCTGACTAAATTGTTGGCTCAAGTGTGAATTCTTTAATTCCTTTTCTAACTTGTATGTTTTCCAGCATACATACAAATAAATAAATCCAGGAATTAATATAACTAATTGGCTATTTTGTACTTGCCTGTGCAGACAAAAAACAAAGGTAATATTTATGTTGATTGTATTTGGATCGAGGTGTTGGTATTTTATTTTTTTTTATTTATTTTTTAAAGATTTTATTTATTCATGAGAGATAGAGAAAGAGAGGCAGAGGCAGAGGGAGAAGCAGGCTCCCCGCGGAGCAGGGAGCCCGATGCGGGACTCGATCCCAGGACCCTGGGATCATGACCTGAGCTGAAGGCAGACGCTTGACTGACTGAGCCACCCAGGTATCCCAAGGTGTTGGTATTTTAAAACGATATATACCCTAGTGCTGTATAATCCCCTTTTCTTGGTACTTCCCACTTTAGTTTTTATAGATTTCTGTTTGAAATAATATTTTGTCTCAATGTCATTCATGTAGACAATCATTTGAAAATGGTGGGATATGGGATGGGACTGAATAATGTGAAGAATACTTCTTAAAGGTGAAGTAAGGTATATCAAAGAATAATTTGCAAAACCTTTATGGCAGAAGTCATTTATTGAAAAAAATTAATATCTTTGCTATAAAATTTATAACAGGAGTATTTACTGAATGTTTATTTTGATGCATAAACCTGAATATTACATACCAAGTACAAGACAGTAGCACTAGCTTTTCCTTTATTTACATTTTATGAAAATCGTTATGCAGTCCATGTTAAAAGAACTTATGATGGAGAATTGTTACATTAGAAAAATAATATTCTTGATAAAGCATTCTCAAGGAGTCCAATCTTTTCTGCCTCTTCAATAAGGCAAAAAGTCCCTGGAATAGCATATAACTTAATTTACAAAATACAATAAATGTTCAGACACATATTCAAGTTTTCTTTTGGTATGATTTTTCCTCACTCTAAAATTACTTTTTATTTTTGTTTTTATTTATTTTTTTACTAAAACAGAAGGGCTTTCAGGAAAATGTCATTGACTGATTTCAGCTATACATTACATATACAACTCCGTAGCCTAGCGACGACCATTGCTACACCGTCATGAACTTTAAATATTTTGCTGGGTGAGCTATTCTCAAATGTAGCATATTTTAAAATTTTGCCGTCATTATGACTGTGGAATCGTTGGTGTTCATAGGAAACAGACCTGTCACAGTATGAAGCTTTGTTTTAGGGAACTGGTACACAATCACATTTCCACTCACAGGAGAACGCCACAGATGTAACTGAAGTCAGGCCCCGATGGCTCCACAGGGGCCCCAGGCTGGACCAACCCCAGCTTTCAGTGCTCACGCTGCACAGCCCTGGCCCACTCAGGTGGTTTCGTCTCCAGAGACTTGCTGGCTCTTCACAGTTAAGTCGTTTTAATTCCTTCAAAGGCACACAGCTTCCACCTTTTCTCCAACGTTGCTCCCACGCCTGTGAATTCCTGTTTAAACATGCGTGGCAGCCTCATCAGAAGCATTTCGATTTCGTTTGCAGATATCTGTTAGAAAGGAAGAAAAGTCACTTTTGGGAACAAGACTCGTCTGCAAGGAGGCAAGGGGTTGGGCAAGGATGCACTTTTCCAGGGAGATAAATGACACTACTTGGCTGTCAAGTAACGTACTGAGGAGAGGAGCGCTGGTCAAGCACTGGAAGTGACTGTCCTGGTCTCGAGCAGCCGGTGGGGCTGGGCAGGTAGGAGACAGAGGGGCGCGAATCCCAGGCTCACCTTCCTTTGGATGGCTAGCTTACTGGGTAGTGCCTTGTGTGAACAGCCCTCCCCACCTTGATATAAAAGGAGATGAGAAGGGGATTTAAGAGGGCTGAGTGCAAGTTCATCACCACTCCGGGTGCCCTCATCCTCTTCGACTAAGGGCAGTGCTTTTATCTCACTCAGTGAGGGCCAAAGGGCATGTGGGTAGATTTCTGGCCACCCTAACTTCTCTTTCTTTAATTTTCACAGAGACCAGAAGACCATAAAGGTTTAGAATGAAATGAAAACCCAGAACCTACAACCATGAAAATCTCAACATCCATTCTTAAAATCCAGGTAGTTTTTTTTTCTTTTTTAAGTTTTATTTGTTTAAGTAATCTCTACACCACATATAGGGCTCGAACTCAGGACCCTGAGATCAAGAGTTGCATGCCTTTCCGATTGAGCCAGCCAGGCACCCTTCCAGGTAGTTTTTTCTTTTTTTAAATGAAAAAAAACTTTTTAAAAAGATTTTATCTACTTATTTGAGAGAGAGAGACAGACACAGATAGCAAGAGAGAGCACTGAGCGGGGAACAGAGGGAGAAGCAGGCTCTCCACTGAGCAGGGAGCTCAACACAGGACTCAATCCCAGCACCCTGGGGTCATGACCCCAGCCAAAGGCAGACGCTTAACTGACTGAGCCACCCAGGCACCACCCCCCCCCAGGTAGATTTTTAATGTAGTTTTTTTTTCTTCTACCTATTTTTCTCTATTACATACATTTTTATGCCAATAATTCATTTTACCTTAAATAAAGGACAAATCAACCATAATCCTTCTGCTCTAACACAGCCATTGTTCTCATTTTCCTGTCTTTGTTTCCCAGCCCATGTGCTTGCATGGGGATCTCCTATAGCAAGGTGGCTAAGACCCTGGAACCAGGGGGGCTAACATTTTTGTTTGAATCCTGTATCTACTATTGCTATGAGCTAAATGACTCCAACCAAGATAATTAGTCTCTCTAATCCTCAGCAAATGGGAATAACAAAGTGTAATAAGGATGTATAAAGACTCCTGGCTTAGCATAGATTTGGCACATAGAAAGGTTTAATGAATCAAACCTATTACTATTTTTCATGGTACAATCACTGGATAGATATCATTTTAGAGTCTGCACTTTCCATTTAACATTTAAATGTTAAACTTATTTAACATTTATTTTAAAGAGAGACCAAATAGACCAAGAAGTCAAATCAGCTTTTCATGTAACATTCACATGGAAAAGATTTCACGTGATATATTCAATATCAATTCACATGATATATTCAATATTTCAAAAAAAAAAAAAAACCAAAAACCTTTCGAGGCAGTTGAAATAAATTGCATTCTAAAATTTTTGTGTGAATTATTTTGAAATCTGAATGCATTTTCCTACAAAGCCATGTTAAAAGGATTATTAGATTGCCAGGTCAGCCCACAAAAGCCTATTAAACAGATGCTTAAAAGGTTCATGTGATTTTGAAACATTTCATTTCAATGAGCACTGTGCAGAATGCCTTCACCAGCATCCTAATTCCATTGTCATAACACTCCTATTAGATACATGTGTCAAAAATGTTAAGATGTATCTTCGTTTTATAGCTAAGAAAACAGAGTGAAGTGCCTTTTCAAAGACAGAACTGGGAAAGAACCCACTGCTTGTGCCTGGGAACTAGGCATTGGTGTGTTTTACGTGCTCCGCATGATTTCAGCAAGCCGTGGGTGAAGAACCAGGAGTGTAGTGCTTACTTTCGAAATATCAATCACCTGGGGTTCCTGTTAAAAAACTCAGATTCCCTAGCCTCTTCTCTGGAGACTGATTCAGCTGATCTGGGGTGTAGCTCATATACTCTATTTTTGATAATCACCCCAGGTAATTCTTAAGATCAGGCATATTTGGGTTAAGAATGGGATTTTTTTAAATCAGACAGGCTTGGATTTTAATCTGGGTAGGGCCAACCTGTGTAACCATGGGCAGGTCATTTAACAGCTGTAACTCTCAGTTTCTTCATGTGTATAACAGACGTTGTAATCTCTCAGCCTAATCATGAGGATTATACATAAAGTGTAACATGGTACCTGGAACGAGACGCTTTCTCTCTGTATACACACTAGGCAATGCTGACAGAATACGACACTCTGTTACCAAACTTTTTGTGATAGGTGAGTCCAGCTCTGCGCTCCTAAGCCAAAGCAAACAAATACAGAAAAGTGTGTGGTCAAACCCAGTTTTCACTTGGTCCAGAAGGCAGTTTTCTGAAGCCAAGTTATCCTCCTCACCTCCTTTCCTTCCTTTGGAGAAAGACAGCACAGGCTGTCTATGGTGGGCTCCAGTCTGCAGTCAATTCAGGTGATACTCCTGAGATGAGCCACCCGTGCCCCCGATCAGGCAGAGCCACAGAGAAGCTGCCAGACCCCCAGGTTAACAGCCGGCCCATCCCAGGCTTGTTTACAGGATAACCGTCAGCTCCCTTGGCAAAGTAGGGAAAGGAGCTTTGTAGTGCTCTTTAGGAAGGAGAGAGAGAAGCTAAATTCTTGAGGGTAAAACAAAGGTCTGGTGTGAAGGTGACACCTATCTATGCAGGAGACCAGCTGGGGTCAGGGCAGGCGATGCTGCCCAGCAGCCCCGGAGCGAAGAAGTGCGACAGCTCGGAGTTCTGGAAAACCTTGTCCTCTCCAGACTTTCGCAAACACTTACGTTAGTTCTCACTACACTCTCATAAGACAGGGAGTAGTTTACAAATGAGGAAACTGAGGTCCAGACAGATTAGGTAACCCAGGAACTAAGTGTGGACCTGGGCTGCAGATCCAGACTCCTTGGCCTTATTTTTGAGCACTGACGCCAAATGCCACAGGGGGCCGGGGACTGTGGACTGAGCATCGGAAGTAGTCCTCTTGGTCACTGTCTCCCTGTTGGGGGCCGGGGCCTGTGTACTAGAGGGCAGGTCTGTGATGACTAAGACTTTAGAGTGATATCAACATCAGTAACAAACAGTTCCCAACTCGACCAGCTCATACACATCCCAGTGCCAATGCCTGGGTGCCCCTACAGCAACTCTTCACCAAAACAGCAAGCAAATCATGGGGAATCTTGTTTTCTGTGATGTCTTTTGACCCGAGGCTAGGCTTGAACCACAGAGGAAGCTGGAGTAGCATGCTGGAGGAGAGAGGGAGCCACTCCTTCCTGAGTCCTCACGGCACTTTAAAGCACAAAACGGGGGCGCTTGGGGGGCTCAGTCGTTAGGCGTCTGCCTTCGGCTCAGGTCATGATCCCAGGGTCCTGGGATCGAGCCCCGCGTCGGGCTCCCTGCTCAGCGGGGAGCCTGCTTCTCCCTCTCCCACTCCCCCTGCTTGTGTTCCCTCTCTTGCTGTGTCTCTCTCTGTCAAATAAAGTCTTAAAAAAAAAAAAAACTCTTAATAAAATAAAGCACAAAACAAATGGCAACCAACACTCAGTAGCACTTGCTGTGTGCCAGATACTGTTGTGAGTACTGTTCATATAGTAAGTCATTTAATACACAATGTAGTTAATGCTAGTAAGCTGCCGTTGGCTTCAAGCTTCAAGGTAACCGCCTGAATGTGGACAGGGGTGTGGCACGATTATAGAACAGACCGCCTCAAATGAAGTCCTGTCTGAAATCTCCCTTTAATAAGGCTCTGAGATGAATTCTAGAGCATTTCCTTGAAGATGTTTTGTATCTCATGCCGGAAGAAAGATCAAGGAGAAATTGCTTTCAAGTTAGTTTGATGGTTTTTAAAACTTTCTCTATCTACCCTGACAAAATAACTTTCATGATATATCACATTTTGGGATTTTCAAAACAAAGAGAGAATTTAATTTGTCCTTTTTTTTTTTTACCCTATGGCCAAAGAGTTTTTACTTTACAAATATTTTCATTTACTTTAATTCTGTTTTCTCCTCCTCCTAAATAATTTGTCAGCTCTTGTAATTTTGCCTTGGCAATATCCTTTATCTTCCTACTGATCATTTCTTGGTTTTGAGAACTGAAAGAATCCTGGAGTGCTCACAAAACAAAGCAGCCAGACCTTACTGGCCGAGCTCAGAGTGAGACGTACCCATTCTGTCATCAGCTGTGCAGGGTTCCCTTCCCCAAATCCATCCTGAGGTCAGGGCTTCTCTCTAAGCGCCTTTCTGTCCTTGATGGAAGCCACTGGGGGACAGGGAAGGGTGTGCTCGCCCAGCGGGTGAGTGGAGGGGCTAGAACTCGGTGCAGGGCTTTCGATGCCAAATCCAGCCCTGCCTTCACAGCACACGGGTGCTGTGAGCAGAATCTAACACATGTAGTTGAGAGACTTCTGTGCAGCATTGCCGTCTAGGTTAGAGACATGCGCTGTGCCTGGCAACTACTTCTCCTGCCTTCCTCTGAGTGAATCTTTGTGATGTGGTCATATAATCACATTCTGCTACAAGAGGGCTAAGTGAACGAGAGGTGGTGGTTTAGAAGAGGCTGAGAAGAGAAAAATATGCAAATATCATTATCAAGAGCAGGAATAATATTTAACTAGAAAATGGCCTATTACTGGGCTATACAGTTTTAGGAGCCATGTGCAATTCACATGCCCAGCATAATTTAAATTAATTCCTGGCTCTCCTTCCATTTCTAATCATTCTTATACTCATATGTGGCCTTTGGGGAAATCCTAATAAAATCAGCTTCATTACAGGCTGAATTGATTGAGCCTGCTTTCCTTGCTCTCATCAGCACTGGGGTAGGCAGAATCTAAATGTTATTTTACAATTGTCATAATGGTGATGTTGTCTGATGTCAAACTGCTGTTCTAACTGGAATTTTAAAAAACCCATCCTACTAGAATCAGCGAAACCTCCGTGTCGTGGAGGCTAAACTGAATCCATAGCCTTTGTGCAACATTAACCAAAACTTGGTGGGGGTCCTGGTGACACCCACCTCCTTCTGATTAACCAGAGGCAGGCGCACCAGGAGAGCCTTAGCGTCAGTGGGCTGCTGGTGGCTCCAGGATTCGGAGCCTTCTGGCAGCTCATACAAGGACAAGGCCCTGGTGGGTACTTAAAGGGCAAACCTCTCATTATTTTGTTTTCTAAGCTGCTTAAAGCCCTGGCGATATGGAATTCCAGTATAGAGCAATAATTTGGTCTCTGGATTAAAAAGTCTAAATATCCTTTCAGCCTCACTGGGATAGAAAGAATACTTGGTCTAATTGCTGGCACCTAGGAGTTTTAGAGCACTTTTTCTATATAATTTTTACTTCAGGGATGAGGAAACAATTTGACAGCTCTACTGAGCATTTCATTCAGGAGATAGAGGGCTGTCTGGGGAAGACCCTGTGTATTTCCTCTGTGAAGGAAATGCTTTCTTCATTATCTTCTAAAATAAAAGTACCAGTCTGAGATAAAATGGAATTCCCTTTAACTGAATCCCTTCCAGAAAGGCCGATCATCTATGGCCAGGGACCAGGTGTGTGAATTCTCTCCTCAGAGACTACTGAGGGAGACCACACAAATTTTGCCTGAACAAATGGATGATGGACACTCTGTCCTGAGGTTAAGAATAGAACAAGATAATTCATTATCTATCACCCCCACCAGGTGATTTTACACCCCCCCTCCCCCAACACACACACACACACAAACTCACGTATATACTAAAACAACTGCTTCCCAACAAAAGCTTCCCACTTGGGATTTCCAGGAGGGGAAGGAAAGCAATGTCAACAATACAAGGGAAGGATAATAGCAACGATAGGAATAATTTCTTGAGGACTCATTCTATGCCACGCCACACTGGTGAAAGCAGTATTTCATCTTTCAGGCAACGGTAGGGTTGATATTAATGAAATTGGTGAGGGTAAAAGGCAAAGAAGCCCTTTAAGAAAGCTTAATTTCAACAAAGTAACATTAAATAGCTCATCATTCTCATTTTATCTGAGTTAACATAAGCATTTTCTATCCCTCCCTGTCCATGTGAGGGGAGGCCACAAAGAAGACATGAGCGGGAACTTCCAGAATCTTATAATCTCCTCATCTCCTCTTCACTCTGTTTTGGCCTACCCTATTACCAGCTGCAAGAGAAGAAAAGGGCATGAATCTCTGTGACTGAAAAGTACTTTTTTGTTCCAGATGATTCTCTCAGAGGGGAAGTATAAGACCCATTAGAAAGGTTAAGCAGTTGTGGGATCATGAATTGGTAAGATCATTTGACTCAAATTGAGAGCACAGTGTAGTCATTTAATTGATACTGGCTATTGAAGATTTAGAATGGTTTGTATGTGTGTAGTCAGGGTCACAGAACTGTGGGCCGGGGCCTGGTCCTACACATTCCAGGTACTTTGCTGCACTCTATGCAAGAGCTTATTTCCATTTTCCCTCCCAGCAGGACATTTAACAAGCTACTCAGTGGTAGGCTTCAGTTCTCTGCTTCTGTGTCCATCCCCTTCCAAGGCTTCCCCCAGCAGTGCTGCTTAATGACATGACTTTATTTCAAGAAGGGCCCCTCTCATTGTTCACTGGATTTTGATACATAAATTGATACACACATTGAGCTCTTTTTGTCCTTTCTCTTTTAGAATACAAATACTGCAATGGGTTAGGAGCATAGCTAATTTGCAGACAAGGCAAACTGAGCCTCAGAGAAATGAAGAGTGATGTCCTGACTCTGGGTGTCTCCCTTGGGGGGCACCGCTGAGAATAACTTTGCAGTCATTTTTTCCATTTAGAGAATAATGCCGAAAAACAACCATTAATATGTTTTCTTGAGAGTCGTATCAGATCTTTATGTTATTTGAGGTGATTTTCCCTCTATCAAGTGGAGTCCTTACCATAGAATCCTGTGAGAGTATGGTCTCAGGATAATGCCCCATTAGCCACCCTGACCTGATTTCTCCCTCTTTGGGGAACTTTCAGGCCAACCTGTAATTTTCAGTCCCTCATATGCTTTTCGGAGTAATTTGGCATCTGCTGAAAGTCACTGTCATTTTAGATAACTGCTCTTCTTTCTATAAAGAAAAAAGCAAGTGAAAAGAAGACAGCTATCTGCCCAAAACGGAGGTCCTTATGGAGAAGTACTGATAAATCTTCAAACGCCATTATATCCCCAATGCAGCTCACGCGGGGTCCACCTACAGCCAGGAAACAACATGCTAAATTTTAGCAATGCAAGTCCCCTGGAGAAAAAGAGTGTACCTTGGAGTCCAGCTGCTGCATGTATGACCAGAGATACTCTATATTGGCTCCAAAAGGATGGACGTGAAGAAACGTTGATATGATCCCTGAATTAAAGAGACAAATATTGGACATTACTGAAAGGCAAATAAAAGTCTGAGTCAAATAATGTCATTTAACCCCAGTAATGGTTTCATCAGGCTGAGTTATGGTCTCACCATTTTTAACAGCACTCAACAAGCACTCGGTAACAGTCCGTTCTGAAGACAGTCCTAGTAAGGTGGCAAACAACACTCTAGCTTCTGGTATGATAGTGGTTAGAAAAGCTAGACTCTGAGATAATATACAGATGAATAAAAGTATTTCTAAACAAAGACTCTTGGAAGCATTTCAACTACCAATTTTATGCTTGATTTACCAATATAAAATTGTAGTTTTTGGGAGGATAAATTCTCTCTTCTTTCCCTCAGTGGACCTTGCAGCATGAAAATGGCTCATACAGCTGTGTCAGAGATCGCACGGCCTCTGATTTCCCTGATAATTACAGCTGCTAGTTATAAAAAGTATTTAATCCATATTTCTCCTAACTGCCACTGAAGGAAGCCCAGATCCTTTCTAAAAGCTTTATTTCCTCCTGGTTGTTGCTGTTATTTAAACAGAGCCAGCTCACTCTCTCCTCCTCGCTGCTGTAATTTACAAGCTCGTTTTAAAAGGCCTAGGAATGGATGGTTTGGCTGGAGTCTGATTATAAATCGGAAGTCTTTTCCATTGTGAAATCAACTGTCAACATTGTACTGACAAATGAAAAGCTGGGCGTTGGTGTCAGGGCTGAAGTAAAAGCATTCCCTTTCTATCCTCCCTGCTCCTATATCCAAAAGCAAGGCTCCATAGATTGTATGCAGCTGTTTGTTAGGAAACTGTGTTCAGACTGACTTTTTAGTTCTAAGTAGGCTTCGAGATGAATTAAATCTGAGGATAAGCCCTCACATTGTTTATTGGGCAACTTTGATGCTTGACAGCCAAAGGTCAAAAGAAAGACATACACTTGTCCGAAATGCAAGGGTGAGCCCTCAAGGAGCACATCGTTCTTGCACAAGGTCATTCTGGGAATTGCAGGGTGACCTTGGATTGATCTGGGACAGGGTCTCGTGGCCTCCTGAGCTCCTGTGTGATGCTTGGGATGCTCTGGGATGAGTGTCAGTGTTTCAAGGAAAGTTCCCAGTTGAGCCTTCGTCTGAGGACAGAGAACCAAAGGGTCCAGTCCGCGCTAAGACCTGTCCTCAGAACACTGCTTGTATGAGGTTTATACTGGTTAACAGAGAGATGAGGAAGGTGCAAGTAATTCATTATTTCTCCATAATGCCAAAAACTTAGTTTTCAGAGACTGACCGTGTTTTTCCTGAGATATAAAGAAGTACCATTTCATTCTGAGATTGTTCTTCCTTTTTTGCTAAAATGCCCTTTGATGAAATAATGGCCATGGTGAAAGGTACTAATGGTATTTTAAATATTTTTAAGCGGCGAACAGCTATTTTAATATACTTAAGTGGAACTGTTTTGTCCCCCTCACCACTTTGTTAATTTATATTTTAATTTTACAGACCTGGCAACTACTTCCCTGTGTCTTTGAAATTCTCAAATCTGGTGAGGTGGCACTGTAAGTGATTCTGTTACTAATGAGTTAAAACATAGAAGCTCATGAAGGACTCACTTTAAAAATAAGAAGTATTTAAACAGTAACACATATTTGCATTTATTAAGTGGGAGAGAGGGGGCAGAATTCTTAAGGGGAAAGTCCTGTTGCAGGATGGTGAATGGGGTTCTCCCTGCTGTCCCCGGCTGAGGACAAGTGATGCTATGTCCACTGGTTTCCACAGGGAGCCTCCGACAAATGGTAGGCGGACCCTCCCCCCATTAGAGAACAAGGGGGAAGAATGAGTAGTCACCTCTGGCTTTGTGAGAAGGCCAGGCTGTTCCTTTCTTCTGGCACACAGGTTCTCCCAGGCAGGGAGGGGGCGCTCCAAGAGAATGGCTCCTAGAGCCAGGAGGGGTGCTGCAAGACAGGGACAGTAGTCCCTTCCTCGGTTGGACATCGGCTTAGGCAGCAGACTGACTGATCAGCCTTCATGGTGACAAGGATGTGTGTGTTTCCCATGGGGCGTGGGGGCATCTTAGAAGGCAGAGAGGTCTGAGCAGTCTTAGGAGTAAACTACCCAAGGGCACCAGCAAATTAAAATCTCTACTGCACAGAGACTCCTCACCATCTCCTAGATAACCCACAGCCTCTCCTAAAACACCCATGGGAAGTGTGGGTGTGAAGTTAAATGTCTTCGGTAGAATAAATAGAATGAGTCAGAAGAGGATTGGGGTGGGGGGTTTGGGGAAGAGGTTGATAACTTTTGGCCTAGGAGATGAAGTGCTGAAAGAGGAAGTTTAGGGATACCGGTAATGGGAGGACCCGGAGTGGCCACTCTTATTGCCTCTGTGAGGTTGGCAGCCCTCTGTGTACATGCCCCCTCACTGGCTACTCTCCAAGCCTCAGGCCCAGCGTTGGGTCTGCGCCCCCAGGGAATTCTGCCCTGACAGTCTGTGCGTGTTCTGGTTCAGTATTGGGAATAGAGTTTACATTTACAATAAATGTGTATTGAATGAATTTATCCTCTAGAAATAAGACTAGCCAGTATACTTGCTTAAAAATTTCTACTGTTCTATTAATAAATGGGGATAAATAAGAACCTTAAAAATTGCACAGTACTAACCAATGATGTGTAGTAGTCTTTCAAAAATCAGGTAACTTTGAGGCATTATTCACTGGTAATTCCTGCCCTTAACTCATCCACTTTATGGATTCAGGACAGAGCAACCTGAATGGACACTTTTTATTGAAACTCTTTTGCTCATAAAAGTAAAAAGAAAATGCTTATATGATTTCTATATATCTTTCTAAAATCAGATTAGAAATCCTGACCCAGACAGTATCTTCCCTTGGGTAGGAGAGTATTCAAAACCATTACTGTGGTAGCTGATATTAATAAGCCATTAGCTTTTCTTTAAGAAAATTGAGCAATTGTCCCTAGATCCATTTGGGGCCAAAGTATATAGTTAAAGGTTTTTTTTTTTTTAATTTTTATTTATTTGACAGAGAACACAAGCACAAGCGGGGTGGGGGGGGGCGTGGCAGAGGCAGAGGAAGAAGCAGGGAGGAGGGAACCTGGTGCGCGGCTCCATCCCAGGACTCTGGGATCGTGACCTGAGCCGAAGGCAGATACTTAATCGACTGAGCCACCCAGGTGCCCCCAAAATAGGTAGTTAAATAAAGGCTTCCGAAGCTTTCCCTATGGATGGCAACTAAGCTATTCAGTATTGCTAGAGATACAGCAGAAATGGGAAACAATAGTCACAGTCTCCCAAATACTGCACCCCTCCTCTTCCCTCCTCCCACCCTACCGCTGCCCATCACAGTGTCCTCACAGAAGCATTAGTCATGGCAGCTGAGAAAATGTAGTTTCTAAGCCCTGGTTTTGGGTTGGATTCATGGGTGGGGTGAGGTGGGCTTCCTGAATAATCAACTAAAGCCTCTTTGTAGCTCCTTAAAAAGAACAGGGCTAGTTCCTGAGAATGGAAAAAAGGACAGGTGTAACTCATAATCTAACGAGCAATGCTACAAACCCAGAAACTGGAGACTATTTTATGGTCCTCTGGGAGGGACCTAAAAGCTTGGTTAAAAACACACCAGCAACTGAGGGTGGAGAACTTAGCCGTAACTGGACTGGTGGCTCTCCAAAGGGATTGACTCAATCATTGGTCTTGGCTGTTTCCATGGAGAAGCAGAAGTCTCCATATTTAAGGATGGGTTTCCCAACCAGGAAAATACAAGGGTAAGTAGCTAATTTAAGAAAATAAAAAGAGGAATAGAGGAGGCTATCCATACTCTTGAGCTTTAAAGCTGCATATTTCAGGGCCTTAAAAAGTGCTTTAGAAAGACATATATATAGAGAGAGAGAGACAGACCAGCTCTGTGCAACCTGTGGCAAGCCCCTCATTAGAAAGGCCCATTTAAACAGGCATGTAAAAAAGCATTTTGAGCTTTTTCCATCAAAATCACTGAGTGTATTCCCCTTTTTAGTCCTAAGACCAAGGAAGCAGCAGCATTGAAATTAGCCACATAGTGCTAGATTTTTACTGCTTCATTCACTCTTCTTTCAGCGTTTCCTTAGCAGCAGTTAGGTGCCAGGGTGCTAGGGGCACAGCACTGCACAAGACAGACAAGGTTCCTGCTCTGGGGGAATTTATATTCTAGGTAAGTTACAGAGGTAAACACAAAGATTAAAAATAAAGGAAATATTTTCAGGTAGTAGTAAACATAGTGAAGAAAACGCAACAGGCTCAAGCTTGGTGGAGTGCTATTTTACACTGGAAAGTGGAGTGAAGGTAGATTTTCCTGTGTCAGATGGGAAGGAGCCAGCCACAGACAGCCTGGGGAAAGATTATTCCAAGTACAGTCAACAGAATGTGCAAAAGACCTGAGGTGGAAATGAGCTGGCAAGAACAAACGGCTGGAGAGTGGTACAGCATGCATTTGGAGGTAGGTAGGGAGCCAGATCACTTAGGGCCCTATATGACAGATTAAGGGGCGTGGATTAAATTCTAAAAACAGCAGGGAGCCAACATTAGAGTTCTAAGTAGGGGCATGATACGATCTGAATTATGTTTTAAAAATTTCATTCAAGCTGCTGTTTGGTGAATAGATGAAAAGGAAACTGGGAGGCCATTCAGAAGTGTCTGCACAAGACCTGAAGTGGTAAGGAGTGATCTGAACCAAAGAGCAGTGGGCATTGAAGGTGGAGCTGGTGGAACGCATGTGAGTGGTGAAAGGCTTGGGAGGAGGAGTCCTGGGTATTTGGCTTGAGCAACTGGGTGGTAGCATTTTCTCAGCTGGGACTACTAGGGGAGGAGCATATTAGGGCAGAGAAAAGGGGGAATCAAGCATTCTGTTTTGGCTTTTTAAAATTTGAGATGTCCATTAGCATCTAAATGGAGATACCAAATGGCAGTTGGAGATGGTATAAATTTGGGAGTCAGTGGGCACCAAAAGGGACTCGACGCC